CTGACATGAAACGTCTACTTTTACATTCTCTATAAATGGGCTGTTGCTGTGATGTCAAGGGACATGACTCTTATCATTACTACGGGAAGAAGATAATTAAGGGAGTAGCACGCCCTTGGATGAAGTCACATTGAGAAGCGTGAAATAAGCCGACGTCGTCTGAGAGACACTCACTGAGAGTTTGTCCAGCACAGGACGACGAGAAGACTGCATTGATCCTGGACGGGGGCCCCTGACAGACCACGACTCATCGGACCGCCAGGGAACTTTACAAGTTGTAAAAAGAGGAGAGAAGTGTGAGAATATTTTCTGTCAAAGGAAAACTGAATACATGAAAGGTACAGAAAAAGGGTTTTTTTTGTTTGTGGGTGGAATGTTGAGCTAGCTGTGTGTACTTCTTTATAGTCAGTTGATGGAAAATAACATAGTTACCAGAGTTTGTTTCAAGTGAACTCTTCTGTATTTCATATTTTGAAGCTAGAACTATTAGATATTGCACCTCAGACATATGTAATTATATAAATCACAATTTTCCTTTTACGTTTCTCCCTACAGTTGACTGGTTTACTGCGTCGGAAAGGGTGAGCACAAGAGGACCCAACCTGATAAACTTCATCTGGACTGTAACCCCCGAAGGATTTGTAAATAACTACCAGGTGGTCACCCAGTCCAGTCTACAGTCTTGTTTACAAGTACAGGACAGCAAAAGTGAGCCAGGGAGCTCCATTGGTGTTTCATTTACAGGGCTCAGAGCTGGGGTGAAATATTTGTCCACTCTGACCCTGGTACTGACCGCGACAACTGACTACCCCCCTAGATCGAAAGTTGTCAGTTTATCTGAAGCCTGGACAAGTAAGTTATTGTTGAGTTTGCTTCTTCAGATAGTGAAGAGTTCCCGGTAATCAAATAGAAAGTTTCACCTGAGACACAGGAGAGAATATATAATATTACATATTATGTTCTGTGTGTTAAACCTTTGAGCCCTGACCCCCTGAGGCTACCATGCCCCTCTGCCGGAGGTCCTCAGTGATATATTACTAACAACATTCATGTGATCGTCAGAATCACATTTCATATCCCACTCAGGGTTGTCCTTGTTCCCTTAGATGTAAAAGAAATATTCTTTTTGTGGATCTCAAATTCAATTTTTGTGTGTGGACAAGGTAAACAAAATCTAAATTTCAATCAACACTTTCACTGCACTTAGCCACAGATGTTTTTGGTATGTCAAAGAAAAACATTGCAAGAGAGTAATACAAAGAAGAAGAAGATTTGCATTTGTATGGCACGGATTCCTGCTCAACAGCAGCTCTATGCTCTTTACAATCTATCCTGGTAGTCCCATTGGCATTCTAAAACGACAACATCCAGTTGGTTGTCAGAGTGCTTCATGTATACATGTGGACATCAGGGCTGTGGTGGTTGGGACAGTACT